GACGAAAGTTCTTTTTCTTGGGAGTACCCAATGTTTGTGTGCAAGAAGGTTTTTTATATGTAGGGGTAAAGAATCACCCCAGTCAGAGCTCAGCTCACTCACAGGAGGGCTGTCACTCCGTCTGCAGATGTAAAAATATAATCTGTGTTCTTCCTCGCACCGTGTGTCTCAGTTCTCTACTCTCTTGACAAATTGGCATCAATGAACAGGATCCATCGTTGGTCCATCTGTCCGCTCCGTGAACTAAGAGGGCTGGCCACCAGAACCATATAGGTTTCTCCTCTACCTCCACTAGGCGTTATTGCGAGACGGGGGACTTTTCGAAACTCCACTGAGTTGGATCCATCCCAACTGGATTGCTACAGGAGACTGAGAGAGGAAGCACCAAATTAAAACTATTCTGAGGTTATAACAATTACATTGGATAATGTTAAATTGTAGGTCTTTCATAAAACTTAATAGACTGAGGAGGAGTGTTGGTACCTAGAATAATGTAGGTCTTTCTACACCGAGGTTGTGGGTCTTACTGAGAAAAGTAGACAAAGTGTTGCAACAAAATGGAAAGAGAAAAAAACACACCAGAGGAATTATGAGTGCTAAAAAAAAAATTCTAAATATAATATGATACATAATATAATGACAGAAATATCTTAAGAAATTCCCTGCTGCTCCATTTGCTGCACATCTTCCTTTCCTCTGATATTCTTCTGCTGCTGTGGCCAGTTTGCATGTAACGGCATCCCTGAGTTTCATCAACATCCAGCACAGACTGTTCACCTCCTAGGTTACTCTCATCATGACTGACTGTCTGATGGAAACATGGGACTCACCTCCTGCAAAGACAAGTAGATGTGTGAAACCAGCATTGTAGTCTGATTTCTATCGCCCCCGATGCTTTGTGGGGCCAACGGATTCCCCAGCACGGCTGCATGGCCTGAAGACAGATAACTGACCCATGACCAGGAGCAAAGGTGGCCCAGGGCCAGAGGGAAGCCTGGGGCCACCGCTGGCTCTGCTGCATCTACAGGGGCTCCTGCAGGGCTGCTCTCCTCCTGTTTTAACAGAGAAAAACTAGAAACCGTGAAATAAGATGAAAAGTCAGAGGTAAAGATGTAGACCACTGCTGCTTTAAACGGTCATTTATCATCTGATCTGGTATTATAGTTCTAACTAAACCTGTGAAGTGAGCAGAGGTTGTCTTTACAGGTGAAACTAAAGCAAAGTATTATTAGATTCACACAGTCTGTTTGGATTTGCTCGTCTCATCTTTTACTACTGATGAATGGTTTAAAGTCTCTGCAATAGTTTCACAACAAACTAATAATTGGCTCCTCCTGGTAGAGAGATCAGCAAATAAAACTAAAACTGGTTGTGTAGCCTGTATGGGACCGAGACCTATACTTACCTAGACCTAAACGGCACTATTACTCTAATGACCAAATCATCTCTAACATGAACATGTAAAGAATGGGATGCTGTCTACCCTCTTATAAAGGCAGATCTACAGAAACCTCTATTTTCTAGTAAGGTGGAATAATTTTACATGTATAAAGCTGAAAAAGGAAGTGTTTGTGCTATTTTTGGCTCACAGTGTTTTCATCGCCAGCAGCACAGCTGCTGATGTTAGACTGACCTGTTGATGGTCTCTATGTGCTTTTTAACAAAATAAAAGAACATTCAGGTGTAGATACGTTAATATGGGATAACTGGAAGTCTATGTTTGGAAAGTATAAAACCATGATTGCATCTGTCCTCTTATCCATTGCTGTTTTTGTTGCTATTTTAACCCTTTGTGGATGTTGTTGTATAACCTGCATTAGAGCTCTGCTCTAAAGGCTGATAACAGCCATGAACCTTTTGCAGTAAGATCAACATACTCTAATTACAATCAAGCGTCTGATTCCACTAAACTCCTGTTGGAGAAAGATTGTCCCTGAAAAAACAGCATAATTTTCAGAGATGTGTCTTAATGAAGTTTTAAGCTAATATCTGATACCTGAAATGCTGTTTGCATGTTCTCTAAACCCAAACAGATTTAGGTCCATCAGACTGAGGAGGAGGCAGGATGAGTTAGGATTAAATGTAGTCTTTAGGATGAGAGGGAGGACATGAAGGCATCCTGGTTTCCTCCTTCTAGAGAATCATGCGGCGGATAAACTAAGGCTGTTCCTTCATAAAGTCAGTCTATCTTCAGAACTCAGCCTCCGCCTGACGTTTGTCAGCCTTCATTCTTAGATTAAATTATTGAGTCTCTGAAGGTT